TCATACTGAGTGCTTGCGTGTATTTGCATTATATTATATTGTATTGTATACTAGTATCTATTATATTTGCATTGTGTGTAAGCATATAGGGTATATGGCATTAGGCATGTTCTTGCATTATGCATTTACTTCACCACTAAATTCTTAATTGACGTTCTGATCCTTTCTGAAAACCTGAGTGATATTAGCAGTTCTAGGCTGACTGCGAGTTCTTATTGGATTGAGGAACATAGTTACTTTTAGTATTTTTGTTTTCTTTTGTCACAAAGAGCTGCCTTCTCATAAATGATCTAGAGCGATAGCTAGCACATGGCTCATTTCCCAAAGCGGGATCGACTGTGAAAAGAGCGTCTTGGACAGAAAATGTTGAGAAGGGCGTAAGCTAGTGACACACACTGCATATTACTATGTGGTGTTCTTATGCGAAGTTATAAGGTGGTCACCCTCATAAAAACCGTAGTGCGTTTTACTTAAAAAAAAAAAAAAAAAAAAAAAAAAAAAAAAAAAAAAAAAAAAAAAAAAAAAAAAAAAAAAAAAAAAAAAAAAAAAAAAAAAAAAAAAAAAAAAAAAAAAAAAAAAAAAAAAAAAAAAAAAAAAAAAAAAAAAAAAAAAAAAAAAAAAAAAAAAAAAAAAAAAAAAAAAAAAAAAAAAAAAAAAAAAAAAAAAAAAAAAAAAAAAAAAAAAAAAAAAAAAAAAAAAAAAAAAAAAAAAAAAAAAAAAAAAAAAAAAAAAAAAAAAAAAAAAAAAAAAAAAAAAAAAAAAAAAAAAAAAAAAAAAAAAAAAAAAAAAAAAAAAAAAAAAAAAAAAAAAAAAAAAAAAAAAAAAAAAAAAAAAAAAAAAAAAAAAAAAAAAAAAAAAAAAAAAAAAAAAAAAAAAAAAAAAAAAAAAAAAAAAAAAAAAAAAAAAAAAAAAAAAAAAAAAAAAAAAATTTGGGATCCTTGCTGAAAATTGTAGTGCAAAGTAGTGGGGTCGACTTTCACTATTGCAGTGATTGTTACTAAGTGAAATGCACTATAAATAATAACGCATGTGTTCTTTCGAAAAAAAATATATATTGGAAGTCGTGGTTCGCACTACTCTGTGTATATATACATATATCCGTTTGATCTATGTTCCTCAGAAAGTTTGAATCTCAAAGTTGGTCTCTGATTGTTGCCGTCACTCTTGTCTAAGTTGGAAAAGAAAAGATCTTATGATTTTAGTGAATTTTTGTGTGCGATTTTTATTCCTTTTTCATAATTAGGCATGTTTGCATATGATTTCCTTTTTGAACGTGATCCAAGTGGTTGTGCAGGACATATTCATGGATAAAATCTGATTTCCTTCCTAAATTTCAAAATAATGTGAGCCGTTATTGATGTGGGAAGTTATGGTATGTTTGATTTTGGATTGTTGGAGGGATTAATTACACTAACTATTTTTGAATTTTCTCTCTCTCTCTCTCTCTCATAAAACCGCTCTCATTACCACCTTGATTTTCGGAACCTACCTTTTGCGGTTTTCTAAGATCCAATGTCTCTCAACTGCTCTCCTCACACGATTCTCTTTATTTTATTCCAGTTTATGGGTTCTTTCTTTTCTCTCTCTCTCCCTTGTTCATTCTCTCCGATTGAAACCCTAAATTCTCCTCTCTCAATCCTCGTTCTTCTCCCATGGCTGGCGGCAAAGACAAAGCCAAGCGACGACTGCAGAAGCAGAAAGAGAAGCGACTTAAGCGCCGCCGACTTTCCTTGTCCACTGGATCTGCACGTGAACCTTCGCCACCAGCAAAAGAACCAACCCCTGAATCTTCGCCTTCGTCAAAATCGGGTTCTCTAGCCTCTTCTCCGTCTGGTTCTCAGTCAAAGTCTGACACTGTCCGCAAGAATCTTGAAATCTCACCACTGGCCACTGGAGTTCCAGGACTTTCTGGACGTGTTGACTCACTAGCCATCTCAACTCAGGGGGAGTCATCTGCTGTTCCCACTTCTGCAACTAAGTCGGTCACCAAGACGACTACTACCGAAAGGGAAAAAGATGATACGGCGGCTACCACCGTTGAAGTCCATTCTGACCAGCCATCACCACCTTCAAGGGTTCCAGTTCGTCGTTCCACCCGCCGTCGTGGGAAGGCCATCGACGAGCCCCTTGTCCCTCCTGAACCTGAAGATGATGCATATGACCTGGAGAATACCTTCACCAATCGGTTCTATACAGAAGCTGCTCACGAACGCTTTATTAATTTTGGGTCTTATGAGTTCTGGTCGGAACATCCTGTGACTGATGGTAAGTTTGCTGAACTCGGTGTTCTTCGTCTGATTGAGCAAGTGGGTCTTTTGAAGACCGTGACTGATGTTAAGCCCTTTTGTGGTCAAGCTGTCAAAGAATTCTATGCTAACCTCACTCCTGCTGTTTTTGACCCTGATAGCCCTCGTTTTCATAAACTTTTTCTTCGCAATCGTGTGATTGATGTGTCTCCTGCTTTGTTTAATGTCCATCTTGGTTTGCCCTCTGATCTTGATAGCTCTTCTCTTATTGATCTTGATTCGGATGAAATGACCAAAGTTCTCACTTCTGGTCAGTTGGATACTTGGCCTGGTTCTAACCTTTCTGTGAATTCTCTTTGCTTAATTGCCAATTTGTTGCATAAAATTGGTGCTGGCAACTGGACCCCCACTTCAAATAAAACCCTGCTTACAGAGCTGCAATGCAAAGTCATTTATTGGGTCATGATTGGGAAAGTTTTCAGCTTTGGGGATCTTGTCTTCCAAATTCTTCAGAACTTTGTTGCTAACAATGAGTCTCGTAAAACTCTTCCCTTTCCTTGCCTCATTTGGTCCTTCCTATCGGCTCATAACTTTTCTGTTAACCTTCGCTCCCAAGACTCTCTTGAGAACCCCAGGAAAGCACTCTCTGTTAGTGCTCGCACTTTGAATGAAAAAGGGATTTCCAAGGTCTCGAAGGAACTTGCTCCTTCCTTGGTCCCAAAGAACTGGGGAGAGTTTGTGGCTCAGCAACTTGGAGAATGGGATGATTTGGCCAAGAAGGTTGCTGCTCAACAGGCTTATCTTCGCCAAGTGTTGCAGGCTGTCAAGGGATCATCTCGGAACTCGGGGACAGGCCCTTCGGCATCCCGTAGTTCGAAAAAGGGGGAGAAGGTTTCTGCTGCTGGCAAGAGCGTTGAGAAAGAGGATGAGGAGTCTGATGATGCCACTGAAAAGCTTGGAGATGAGGAGTAGTTAACTTGGAGTAGTTTGTTTTTTGTTCCTTTGTGTGTTTTGAGGATTGTAGGGAAACTTGTCATTTGCTGTTGGTTGTCTGCTGGTTGTTACTAAGTTTGTTTTATGGGAATTAATGCAGTTGTTTTGTTGTCCTTACTGTTTTGGTTGAAATGAATTTAGAAGCATTCTATTGAATTTTGATGACTGCAGGAACTAAGGGGGAGAACTGCTTTAAGGAGATCTTGTGATGTATTGATCTAATCCTTGCTTGAGTTTATCTGTGGTTGCTTGTTGTTTTTATTGCTGTAGGAGACTTTCAAGTCTGATGTTTTCGAACTAGATGCCAAAGGGGGAGATTGAAAGATATTTTATTTTGGCATTAGTTCGATAGTTCGAACAAGCACCTGGAACCACAGAATAAAAAGGGAAGATCTTTACATATTGTATTTTCTTAAGTAATATTGTTTTATATTCCGTATGTAAGTCCATGTAGATCTTATTACGGTTTTTATATGACAGGTAATTGCACGAGGAGAGATAAAGAAGAAGGAGAAAAGAGACATGTTTGGAGAGGAGATTAATGAGAGAGAAGAAAAGATTTCTTACCAAAGATATGCCATTATCTTGGAAGGAAATCTTGTTTGAAGTCCTATGCCTTGTAGAAGACTCCAACCCTAAGGAGATCATATAAATACCCTAGAAGAAGCTTATGGCGGCCGTGGATTTTCACAGAGAATTATTCGAGAGCCATACAAGCTTTATTCGCGTTCTGTTCTAGTTTGATTGTATTCAGTTCAGTCTAAGAGTTCTTACAAACTCAAGGACTAGTACTGCTTTCGTTTAGTTCTTTAGACATTTCATCAAAACTATTTTACGGTTTGTACACTTAGGGAATAAGTGTAGGTGTTTAAGTCCACGGGACGTGGCCGGAGGATTAGTTGATAGGATCAAGTAGTGTTGGCTAGATTTGAAGGGAGTTCGAATCTTTGTAAGTCCAAGCTATGTATACGAGTGATCTATCAATGAAAGAGCTCTGAGGGGAAGTGGGACGCTTCCCTGAAGAGTTTATTAATCTTCGGTTATTTACTTCCGCATTTTACAATTCTTATTGTAGTTCGTACTAATACTCGCGCACTCCGTGACAAATATACGTTTCACTGAGTTTGTTCGCTTTACTGCAAATTTCATTAGAAAGTATTCCTGCGGTATAGTGCAAGAACGATTAGCTGAAATGTGAAAAAATTGAGTGTCATTTGGTGACACAGAGCACTTAGTAGTCACTCTCGGAGAGTGAATTTTCATTTTTTTTCTTTTTCCATATCCAATCGAGCTCGTCTTTTCTCACTCTGTGAAGAAGGAAAGAGATAA